TCGACTTCCATACGCCAGGATTCTATATGAGCACTGGTTCATGCCCTGGCTGCGCCACATCCCATCCAGCTCCCTGCTTGTGGCCTGAGAAAGCAGTCAAAGACGGCCCACACCCTTGGGACCCTGCACCCATGTGGGAGACCTGTCAGAATTTCCTATCGTCAGACTAGCTCAGTTCTGGCCACTTGTGCAGTGATCCAGCTTACAGAAGATCTTTTGCTCTGTCTCTCCTTCCCTCTGTATATCTGACTTTCCAAATGAATAATTTAATTTAAAAAAAAAAACTTTATTATTTGGAAAGGCAGATCAGGTTTATGATGTTCATCCACTGAATCATTACCCAAATGGCCATAATGGCCACAGCTGAGGTGAGCCAGACATTTCTTCTGATTCCCACAGGGGGATAAGGTCCCAAGGTTTTGAGCCACCCTCTTCCTCTTTCTCAGATCGCAAGCGAGGAGCTGTATGGGAAGTGGAGCCACCAGGACACTCACTCAACCACATGGGATCCTGGCACTTACAGGTGAGCATTTAGTCATTGAGCCCTCATGCCAGTCCCTCTCACGGAGTTTTTCTTGTTTGTTTGTTAGTTAGTTTGTTAAGGCTTATTTATTTTTATTGCAAAGTCAGATTTACAGAGAGGAGAAGAGACAGAGAAGATCTTCCGTCCATTGATTCACTCCCCAAGAGACTGCCACGGCTAGAACTGAGCCAATTATCCAAAGCTAGCAGCCAGAAGCCTCCTCCAGGTCTCCCATGTGGGTGCAGGGTCCCAAAACTTTGGACCATCTTTAACTGCTTTCCTAGGCCATAAGCAGAGAGGATGGGAAGCAGGGCTAACAGGATTAGAACCAACGCCCATATGGGATCCTGGCACATTCAAGGCAAAGACTTTAGCCACTAGGCTACCATACTGAACCCTCTCTCAAAAGTTTTAAACTCTAAAGTTTAATTCATATTAGAGTGCCTACACTGAAACTAGACATTTAACAGATTTACTCTATGTGTACCTCTTGTCTGGTTTGAAGACCAGATGAATTTCTGTCTCTAACTAAACTATTCATACTATATAAAATAAAAGGCAGCAGATGAGGCTCAGCTGCCTGGTTCCACTCACATGGAAACCCAGACTGAGTTCCTGACTCCTGGATGCGGCTGGGCCCTGCGCTAGGAACTGCAGACGTGTGGGCAGTGATCAGCGGAAGGGAGGTCTCCCTGTTGGATTCTCTGCCACTCAAATAAATTACAAATAAGTCACACTGGGTTAAGAATAAACACAGCAACACTCTCAGCAGCAATCATGGAAAGGAAGAAACAAACTTTCACATCATTTTACTGAACTAAAATGATTCATAATTTAATTTTTAAAATCTGTATTCTTATTCAAAAGTGAAATGAGAAGAGCTCTTCCATCCACAGGAGCTTCATCCAGGTCTTCCATATAGGCGACAAGGGGCTCAAGAACCTGTGCCATCTTCTGGTGATTGTCCCAGGCCATCAGCAGGGGTTGATCAGAGTAGAACTGCCAGGACCTGAACAGTGGGCTGGCAGCTGTGCAGGCAGCAGCTCTACTCATCACAAAACCAACTCAGTCTCACATCATTACAAAAGCTCTCCACAAAAGCAAGATTCTTTTTGCTGAATATGCATGTATGTGTACATTTTAAAACTCAAAGCAACAAGCATGGAAGAGACAGACATGTTCCTTCCGTCCAGTGCTCCACTCCCCAGATGGCCACAATGGCCAGGCTGAAACCAGAAGCTGAAACTCCGTCTGGGCCTCCACATGGGTGCAGGGATCTAAGGAACTAGGCCATCTTCAATTTTTCCCCTCAGGTCATTCTCAGGCAGCTGGATGAAGGCAGAGCAGTCAGGACTCACACTGGCAACATATGCAGCAATTCCATCCACAACACCACACAGGCCTCAAGAAGCAAGTGTCTACTTCACTTCCCACTGACCTTCTTCCTCATTATACTAGAACATATGATCCATCAAAAACATAAGGAAAACAAAGACCTGCAACACAGGACGAAGCAAAAGCAAAGCCCCAGAGGTTCTAGGCTACTAGCTAACCTTAAAAACAGCTGGTCTGGAGTGAGCAGCAAAGATAACTCAGGAAACAGCAACATGGCCATGTGGGATGTCAGCACTACAGATGGTAGATTAGCGCACTGTGCCACAACAGTAGCTCTCACATACACTTTAACCAGAATATTAACAGAAACTCTTTTCACTACTTATATCTGGAAAACCACTTATCCAGAAAAGGAAAAAGAGAGTGAAATTTTCAGGGAAAACAAATCACTGGAATAAGTGACTTAAACAAAATCTCAACTAAAACATGATGATTTGGTGGCCAGCACCATGGCACAGTGGGCTAAGCTCCCACCTGTGCCGCTAGCATCCCATACAGGTATCAGCTGGTGTCCTGGCTGCTGCACCGCCCATCCAGCTCCTGGCTTGTGGCTACGAAGGCAATAAAGGACGTATCAAGTCCTTGGTACCCTGCATTCAGGCTGGAGACTCAGAAGGACTGGCTCAGCCCCAGCTATTAGGATCATTTGGTAAATTTGATGATGGATGGAGGATCTCTGTCTCTCCTTCTCTCTGCACTACTCTTTCCAATAAAAATAAGTGAATCTTAAATATAGAGAGATCTAGGGCCTGGTAGAATGGCTCATTGGCTAAATCAACACCTTGCAAGCACCAAGATCCCATAGAGCTTACAGTTCCAGGTTCTAGCTGCTATACTTGGCATCCAATTCCCTGCTTCTCTTTCCCTCCCTTCCTCTCCTTACAAGAGACTGGTAAGTTGTATTAAAAGCAATTAAAAACACCAAGCATGAGTTTACTCAAAAGCAAAGAAATAAACTGACGGAAGCCCAACAATGTGGACTGGGCCTCCTCAGGTGCTGAGGCCTGTGCAATGTTTGGACAGTGTGCCCCAAAGCACAGTTCATCTGGGCCAGCTGGGGACATCAAGTGCCACATCAGGAAATGCAAAGCAGAACAGATCAGATCATTCTCCTGGCCAAGCTTGCACCAAGTACCCGGGTCTCTGGATGCACTAAGGTGGACTTGCTCAGCCAGCGGATCTGGAAAAGATCTTCTCAACCCTGATGCAATAAAACTAACAATGTGTCAGAACTGCCCAAACCACTCAAGCAACACTCTGGGAATGTTCTTCCTCACATCGGGGTCTCTAAGGTGTCATCAAAAGGCCATCTCCTATCCCCGGGAGCTGATGCAGTTCGACAGCAAGGAGCGGCCCCCTCCACTCCGACACCTCACTTCCATCAGTGGACAGATCAACAAAACAGAAAATCAGCCAAGAAACAACAGGGCTAATCTGCACTATGGACTAACAGAACTTCATTGCCATCTGAGAGAACTCATTCCACACCTCCAGAAACCATCCTTTTCATCAGTACATTGAACTTCCTTATCATGGTTCACTGCTAAGATATAAAGCAAAAGTCTCAATAATTTTTTTTTAAAATGAAACCATATCATTTCTCTTTTCTGATTACATTCTGATCACAATCTAATTCAGTTAGAAATTAATGACTTACAAATATCTAAAAGATATGTAAACTCACACATGACTTAACAAATTGCTCCTAAGCAAAGAGCCACAGAAGAAATCAAGGAGAATCAAAAGCTTCCTGTGAACAAATGGAGACAGCACAATGCATCAGAATTGAAGGGACACAACAACAGCAGTGCTGACAGGGACATTTGGGGCGGTCAGTGCTTATACTGAGAAATGGAAAGGCATCAGATAAACGGCATCAAGGCAAAAGACAAACAACACAAACCACAAAATTACTAGGAGGAAAGAAATTAGAGAATAAACAAAATAGAAAACAAGATAAAAGATCAATGAAGAACACATTTATTGAAAACTAAGCAACACTGATATATCACTAACCCAAATAAGAAAAAAAGGGAAGAGAGAGAGAGAAAGGAAAAAAGGAAGGACGGCCCCAAGGACAGAAGTGGAGCAGGCCTTGCAGGACAGCGTGAACCCGAGGCACCTGTGCCCACTCTACACAGAGACCACACTGAGTGCTAGACCCCAGCTTCCCTCTCATCTCTGCACCAAGGACTCCAGCCCTCCCAGAAAACAACACACAAAGCACAAAGCCACAGCCTGCCATGATGACCCCCACCCTGAGGGCGAAGCCACCACCTGAGCTTCTCCACCCAGAATGCAGGACTAAGCTGCCACCTGAGCTCCTGGATCCGATGCCTAGGGCAAAGAAACCTCATGCCTTTCATGGACCATGCCAATGACCAAGCTGCCACCAGCCCTCCCAGACAACACACAAAAGGGCCAAGGCACTGCCTGCCCTCCAGGAACACTCACCAAGGACCAAGCCACCGCCTGCCTCCTGGACCCTGCACCTAGGGACAAGCCACTACCTGCCCTCCTAGACCCCACGCAGATGGCCAAGCTGCAATCTCGCCTCCTGGAATCCTCACTGAGTGCTAAGCCATGGCCCATCCTCCTAAACCCTGCAGGCAGGCAAGCAGCCACCTCCACTCCTGCACCATTGTGATGGAGATGGCCAAACTACCCTTGCCCTAGGGGACAAGCTTCCACCTGCGCTCCCACACACAGGTGCTAAGGCCAAGCTGCCGCCTCCCCTTCCTGGATCACTAGAACTTGGGGGTTCTTACCTTGTAGGTGTCCGTGTTTTCCGTAACAGGTCGGATGGTGCTGATGAAGCCCAGTGGGTCTATCAAGTCCTGCAGCGAGGCTCAGAGACCAGGCACTCTGGGGGCGGCACCAACTCGCACATAGCTGGCTCCATGTCCACCATGGCAGCCACCGCGAGACCCTCCCCAGGTGGGGGGCAGGTGGACAGCAGGCAGGATGATTTTCAGCTGGAGTCCATGAGCCCTTACGTCCTCTCCCGGAGCCTGCTGCACATCTTCGGCAAGAGAACAGTTCCACTCTGGAGAACCCAGTGACTTGTCCTCTTGCTCCACTGGCTCTTCACTGACTGAGTGTGCGAGGCCGCAGCATCTCGCAGGAAGTGACCAAGCGGCCAATCCCTCCGCGTCAGCACCACGCAGGATTCCTCCGCTGGATGCCCCGCCGCCCTTGGGGAACCTTTTCTTCCTCCTCCTGGACACCAGGGCGCCCTGCTGTGCTTCCTCTCCTCACCCTGGGAAGTTCTGTGTGGTCAGATGGGGATGGGGGCTCCTTGCTGCACTGGGCTCTGGAGGCCCACTTAGAGACATGCAATTTTAGGTTTTGACTGCTGTACAAATAAAATGTGATCTATCAGTTTTGACATATTTCATGTTGGTTTTGAAAAACTGTACACTGTATTTGTCTTTTAAGAAACTTCTTCCATGGTTCTTATTGTTTCATTTATTCATTCAACAAAAATCTCTCAGAATTTTTCTTTGGATCGAGAACTCTATGTGGCAACCAAGGCACAGACGCTTTGAAAATAATTAATTTGTAAGGAGTTCAGGTGAAAGCCTAATTTTTTAAATGGATGAACGATTAAAAATGAAATAGAGTTATTGCCATGTTGGTGCAAGGAGATTAGATGATCATGTGAAAATTACCTGAAAATGAGTTGAACAGCTATGCTATCTTGTGAATTCTTTCAACATGTTTAAAAGTAAATTCTAGTTTTAAGTTTATTGTAAACGGAGAGGCAGAGAAGGAGAGAAAGAGAGACGGAGCGAGAGCCAAATTCTAAATAACATTGCAAATACCTACACTACTATAGGCTACATCAGTCAAACACCAGGAGCCACGCGCTCAAGTCCATTTTCCCATGTGGGTGGCAATGAATAGGCTATGTGAGCTATAACCTGTAGGCTTCCGTTATCAGAAAGCCAGGTTTGGCACTCCACCATGGCATGAAGGTGTCCAAGGCAGTATCTTCACCATTTGACTAATGTCTACCTCCCTGAAAGAATTACTATCATGCGAAGAAATGGTAGGTCCCACTTGAAACCAAAAGAGATTCCTTGAGAATTTAGAGGGAGAGGAAGAGGTAGTAAGTAGTGAATGAATTTTGACAAAAGAACCAGCATAGACTTGAAAAATGCTTTTGGGAAGATGGGAGAAATTAAGGTTGATGACAACAGCTGTCCAAACTAGCATCATTACAGAAATAATTAAGGGGAAATAGTTGGAAATATTTAACATGTAGAAATGCATGGATATATGCATTGGTGCATGAAAGCAAGGAAAAAAAATAAAAGCATTATTATTTCATATCAGGTTACACACTACGGTGCAGAATTTCATTATAGTTCATAGAAAAACAACGAGAATCTGTTTTGATTATTGTGTCAGGGGGTGTTAGCAATAGTGAAGTTTGACATTTTTGCGTCATAATAGCAGAGATTATGATAGGATTAAATGGGGACCAAGAGAGCTGTCTAGATTCCAGATATGGATTATGGAGTTATCAACTGCGATCACAATTAAATTTGAAAAATAATAGAGGGAGCAGATGCTAAGGCAAGAAAAATCCTTATCAAAGAAATGGTCATCTGGAGGAGAAAAATGTTCTTTAGAATAGGTGAGCTCTTACTTGACAGTGAAAAAAATTGTTTTGAATAGAAAATTATGGAGGATAACTCAACAATATAGCATTATGAAGCACAGGCTAAAAACACTCAGTGCTTTCAAGTGCTAAGTAAAATCAAATAACACAGTGGCCAAACATTTGCCCATCAATATGGAATGTGAGAGGAAAGTAACTGTGTCTCCTGGAGTAGATTCAGTAGAGTCATGCACATAGTCAAAGGCAATTTATAATACATAGAACTGGGCCTGGATGATAGAGCAATGGTTAAGGTCCCCACCTTGAACCTATCGGGATCCCATATGGGCGCCGGTTCTAATCCCGGCAGCTCCACTTCCCATTCCACTGTCCCTGTTGTGGCCTGGGAAAGCAGTCGAGGACGGCCCAATGCTTTGGGACCCTGCACCTGCCTGGGACACTTGGAAAGAGGTTGTTGGCTCCTGGCTTCGGATCAGTGCAGCACCAGCCGTTGCCACCACTTGGGGAGTGAATGACCGACTGAAACATCTTCCTCACTGGCTCTCCTCCTCCTCTCTGTGCATCTGCCTTTCCAAGAAAATAAATAAATCTTTAAAGAAATAGATAGAACTTAGGGGAAGATTAACAAGAGAAAGCATGAATATAAGTATGTAGTTTTAAAGTACAGAGAGAAAAGGAGAGTCATAAAACAAAAGATGACTTCTCTTCACTCCTGGCTCATTCACTGTCCAAATGAGCCATGCGTTTTTTCTGGGATACCCACACAGGTGCCAGGGATCCAGGCTCCCCAGCTGGCAGCCTGAAGGCAAGTGAGGCAGCTGGGACTCAAACTGCCACTCTTATGAATGCTGGTGGTGTAAGCCATGGTTTCCCCCACTGCACCACAGCACCATTCCCATGCTGCACGAATTCTAACCACCACACAAACCAAAGGAAATGTTTAGGTACAACCATGCACATCGAAAGCAATCTTCATAGCTGTGCAGATCATACTAACAAATATCTCAAAACTATCCAACTTCAACATGAATCATGCTGCTTTCAAACATTTGTGGAATGTGGAATAATATGGGAAAATTCTGCTTGGTTTAACAAGTCACATTTCCATGAACTTACTGCAGACTTCTCATACACATTGACTTTAGAGTTTTTGGACAAAATTGCAGTTATTTTTCAATTCATTTTATCCCTGAACTTTTGCAAAAGATTTATTTATTTTTTGGAAAGGCAGATGTGTAGAGAGGAGGAGAGACAGACAAGAAGATGTTTCCTTTGATGATTCACTCCCCAAGCAGCTGCAACAACCAGAGTTGCACTAATCCAAAGCCAGGGGCCTGGGGCCTCTTCTGGGTCACCCACACAGGTGCAAGACTGGAAGGCTTTGGGTTGTCCTCCACTGCTTTCCCAGGTCACAAGCAGGGAGCTGGGTGGGAAGCGGGCCTCCACGATTAGAACTGGCGCCCATATGGGATCCTGGTGGGTTTAAGGGGAGGACCTTAACCACTACACCCAAAACTAAATCAATCTTCACAAAAAGCTTCTGCCCTTCCCTTCAAAGACATGCAAATAAAAGGAATAAACTCAATCACCAATTCATTGCCATTGTTCATACATACCTTAGAGATGTGTCCAGATGTTGCCTGTCTCTGTGTGTATTCTGCAATGCTCTTTACACAGGCCTGGAAGGAAGGCAAGACAAGGAATTTAGCCACTAGACTAACACGGTGGGCCCATGGTTTATGTCTTAAAACACTTTGCAGAAATGTGGAGGGAGCTTCTGAGGGTTCATATTGCAAATGCCCATAAAATCTCCCAGGTCACAAGCAGGGAGTTATATGGGAAGCATGGCCGCCGGGACACTGGGATTAGAACCAGCACCCATACGGGATCCTTGTATGTGCAAGGGGGAGGACTTTAGCCACTAGGCTAATGTGCCGGGTCCCAAATTGGTTTTTGAAGTATGAAACTATTCACTGTCTGTCTTTGTGCTAATCCTTCTAAAATAGTGATCAACAGAATGCACTGACTCATTCTTTTGCCTTGTTTCTTATAAATTATCAAACATCAATGAAATTCTAGACTCTACTTGGATCCATGAATGCTCACCTTGCAAAGTGTATCCACTTTCATACTATTTTTCATCCCTTGGTCCAATGTACAGCAGTCTAAATCAATTGGTCTCAGTTACTTTTAACATCTTTGTAAATGTAAAACCTAAAGTAAGTGTTCATGCACTAAGACTATGTGTTTGGAACATGTGGTTTCTGAGCGGGCATTTGGCCTAACAACTGAGATGCTGCTTAACCTGCATCCCACATGGAGAGCCTGGCTGAGGTCATGGCTACTCACCGTCCTGCTGATGCAGACCCTGGGATCCAGCAGGTGATGGCGCAAGGGTGAAATTAGTGTCACTCATGTGGGAGATTGGGACTGAGTCCTTGGCTCCGGGCTTTAGCCTGGCCCAGCCTTGGCCACTGCAGGCATTTGGGCTAACTGAACGGGAGCTCTTGAGCTCTCTCACTGGATGGCATCAGGCTAAGAGGCTCCCGTGCAGACAGCAATGTGACTAGTTACACATACACCAAGTTAGCTTCTCAAGAGCTACTGCAGTCAGGCAGGGGAAACAATGCCTCACCTTGTTCTAACCCTGACATGACAAGAGTCACATCAAAGAAAGCAAAAACAAGAGTTGTCCAGGCATGCCACCCTTCCCCCACTCCAACGATGGATGCAGAGATAGTTGCCTCCTGCGTGGGCATTAGGGGACCAGGGCCACTGTGAAAAATATAGATGGCAGCCCTTGCCCTGGCCCCAGGACCACACCAGGGCAGTGAGTATTGGGATCTTCTACTGCCAGGTGGCCTCTGACAGCCTGCCCCAACCACCAGCAGGAAACAAAACTACAGCTGTGCAGGACACACTTCAGAGCTCAAAGCTGGCACATTATGATGAGACCAGCACCTAAAGAAGCCTACAGGACTCCAGTTTCTCACCAGTGCTCCTAGAATGGCATCATGCAGAGCCCTGAGCTCTGGAGGTTTGGACTCATTTTGCCATGTGTCACTGCTGGCCTCTCGTAGGTTAGATCAACAACCCTGGGACTTTGGGGGAAATGCACATTAGGAAAAAGCAAAGCATGAATTTCAAAATTGTTTTGTACTAGAATAGACTTATTTGTAATTCCAACTTTTCCTCAAACTTTCCGAAGGATTGTTCTCTGTCCACAGACCTTACTCATGTGTCATAAACGGAGGACAATGTTTAACTTTGCTGTCCCTTCAGCTGGTTTGGCAAGGAGGGTAACCATGAGTGACATAAAAAGTGACAGGACATGTAGAATGGGCTGGTTTATCAAATTTAAGTACGATGATTAAGAGTATTGTGTGTGTGTGTGTGTGTGTGTACATTTCCACCATACACACACACACACACACACACACATACACAAGGAAACAATATTTTGGAGTCAACCCCATGGCATGGCAGGCAAAGCTGCCACCTGTAGTGCCAGACTAATATATGGTTGTTACTTTGACTTCTGCTGCTCCGCCTCTGATCCAACCATTTATAACTTTACTATAACGACTAAAACATTATAGCCATGGGCTGGCATGGCGATGTGCCATCCCATTTGGGCACCAGTTCACATCCCAGCTGCTCCACGTTTGAGCAAGTACTGACCAATGGTCTGGCAAAGTAACAGAGGATGGCTCAAGTCCTTGAGCTCCTGCACATATGTGGGAGACCAGGAAAAAGCTCCTGGCTCCCAACCATGGTCAGGTCCAGCTCTGGCCATGCTGGCCATTTGGAAAGTGAACCAGTGGAAGGAAAATCCTCTATCTATCTTTCCCTCTCTCTGTAATTTTTCAAAGTATATAAATTGTGTAATAATAATAATGACAACAATAACAACATTAACACATCCCAAAGCGGGGCCTGTCACTACCACACAGCATTAACTTAAGCTGCCACCTACAATGCCAGCATGCCCTATCAGGTCCTGGTTCAAGCCCAACTGTTCCACATCTGATTCCACTTTCTGCCAACGCATCCTGCGGAGCCGGACAAGACAGTCCACGCACGTGAGTTCCTGCCACCAGTGAGGAAGACCAGAAAGGAGTTCCTGGCTCCTGACCTCAGCCTGGCCCAGCCCTGGACGTTACAAGCCACTTAGGGAGTAAAACAGTGAATGGAAGAGAGCATCTTTTCTGTCTCACTTTGCTGTTCTCCCTGATAAATCAAAATAATATAGTTCACAAAATTTTTTCTTCAAAATATGGGTAGGGAACAGAGTATAGAAAGTATGAAGACTTTTTACCTCTTTGTGTTTTCTGTTTGTTTCCTTATCTATCATAAGCTGTTATCACTTTAAGAGTCTATTACAGTCAATAAAGTTGTTTTGTAAGCCTCAAAGTAACTACAACACAAAACTTACACACAGATTTAGCAAGGAAATCAAAGTACAACTCTAGAGAGAATCACTAAATGACAAATGAACACTGAGGGGAACGGACACACAATAAAAACACACAGGTCTCAAAACAGCAGCAGTAAGACATAACCAATCAATAATGATCTTAAATGTCAACAGACTCAATTCCTCAGTTAAAGGCACAGACAGGGGTGTCAATGTTGTGGTGGCAGCAATGAAGCCGCCACCTGGGATGGGGTGCCAGCTTATGTCCTGGCTGCTCTACTTCCGACCCAACTCCCTGTACATGTACCGAGGAAAGAAAGCAGTGGAAAGGGCCCCAGGCTTTGGGTCCCTGCACTCAAGTAGGAGACCCAGACAAGCTTCCAGGTTCCTCACTTCAGCCTGGCCCATCTGCAGATGTTGTAGACATTCAGGGAGTGAGCCGTGCTCATGTGAGCTTTTTCACTGTCTTTCTCTCTCACTATCTCTCTGTAACTCGGTCTTTGAAATCTGGATGAAATTACTCCAGACACTTCAATTAGCAGTGATTGTTCTAGATTAGACTAAAAAAGTATAGTAAGTGAAAGCTTTTCCCTGGTAAAAGAAGAAAAACTACCTTGTAAACAAACAACCTACAGGATGGGAGAAAATACGCACACTACACACCTGACAGGGGACTGGGAAACAGAAACTGAAACAGCCACAAAGCAAAAACACCATCAATAACGCAATTAAAACAGATAGCAGATTGAAATATACTTTTTTCAAAAGATGTATACATGACCAACATGTACATGAAAACATTGTCAATATTAGATTTTTTTTTTGAAGATTCATTCTTTATTTGAAAGACAAAGTTATAGAGAGAGAAGAATCATATCCATGTGCTGCCGGCTGCCAATCCCAGTTTCAGCTCAGATCAAAGCCCCAATGGCCCAGCCTGGACCAGGCCTAAGCCAAAAGAGTCTGGGTCTCCCCTGTGAGTACAAGAGCCCAAAGATTAAGGCCATCCTCTCCTGCTCCCACAGGCTATCAGCACAGAGCTGGATCCTAAGTGGAACTGCCAGGATACACATCACACCCATAGGGGATGTAAGCTGTTCTGGGCAACAGCATCACTTACTGCCAGTCCCCTACTTTGTCTTTAAACTCTTTTTTTTTTTTTTTTTTAACAAAAAGTGATGGAGAAGATACAGAGAAAAGGGAATCCTTGCACACTGTTCATGGGATTATACATAAAACAGTAGAGAGGTTCCTCAAAAACTGGAAACTAGGATTACCATATGATCTAGCAATTCCACTAACTGGCAAGATTCCAAAGAGAAATGAAATTCATCCGTCGAGCTGTCTGCACTCCGCAAGTTCCAAGAAATCAAAACAACCTAAGGCTCCCTGTACTGATGAACGTCTAAAGAAAATGGGTGTGTCAACATGGAAATGTAACTCAGACATGAAAGGATCACATTTGTCCTTTACAACACCTTGACTAAACCGCAGGTGACAACATCAACCAAAGCACCGTAAGATAAATATCACATAATTTCACTCACATGTTGACTTAAAAAACAGAAAGCTTATAAAAGCTAAAAAATATATACTTGCGCTTACCAAACACTGGGTGGCAAGTGGGGAGGGAAGGATGGGCAAAGGTGGGTTCATAGACACTGGATTAGAGCTAGGTGGCAGGAGGTTTTGGGTTCCACCATACAATATGGTGATTATAAAATCCTTCTCTCTCAGCCGGGCAGTGTGTTCCAGCTGCCGAAGTCCTCGCCTTGAACACACTGGGATCTCATATGGGTGCCGGTTCTAATCCCTGCAGCTCCACTTCCCATCCAGCTCGCTGTTTGTGGCCTGGGAAAGCAGTGGAGGAAGGTCCAAGGCCTTGGGACCCTGCACCCGTGTGGGATACCCGGAAGAAGTTCCTGGATCCTGGCTTTGGATCGGCATAGCATCGGCCATTGCACTCACTTGGGAAGTGAATCATCGGACAGAAGATCTTCCTCTCTTGTCTCTCCTCCTCTCTGTATATCTGACTTTCCAATAAATAAACAAATCTTAAAAATCCTTCTCTCTCACTTGCTCTGTCTCCCTGTAACTCTCCCTTCTACACAAAAATAAATAAATCTTTACTATTTATTTGTAAAACTTTTCTGAAACAATTCAGAAGACTTCCCCTGCCCTCATTTTACCATGGATTTTTTGCATAGAAAGCTGAATGCCAAAGTACTCATGCTGTTTAGCTGTTTCTGATTGGCACTGACTAAATACTGCATGCAAATGAGAGGATACCGTCATCTTACCTTACACACAAACTCTTCCAATCTTTCCATAGCATGATGGGCTTGCAGGAGATGGGACATGCCCATAAACCCCTCATCTTCATGGGAAACTTCTTCACTGCACTCATGTTCCCCAGAGCTCTGTAAGGAAACCAGAGAAACGGTGACAGAATGAGAATCAAATGATACAATAAACACTTGTTCCCCCTTTCTGCAGATCATAATTCAACTCTTTTTTTAAGATTTATTTTTATTGGAAAATCAGATAGAAAGGAGGAGAAACAAGAAGCTCTTCCCTCTGCTGGTTCACTGCCCAAGCAGCTGCAACAGACTAAAGAAACACTAGAGAACCCAACAATGACCCAAGCATGCCTTTTATAAACTTGCAGATGCAATGCAACTGGGAAAGGGCAGGCTTTTATGATAAATGATACTGCAGTAATTGAACAGTAACAAAAAATGAAAAACACATAAACACTTTAAACTCCTACACCAATACTTTGTAGGAAAATTAAAACAGCTCATTAACTTAAAATGCAAAATGAAAAACCATGAATTTTTTACTCCATGAAAAAAAAAATGAAAAAACCTCCCTCAGGAAACGCATGTGAAACCTTTAGGACCGAGAGGGAGGGTCTGACAAGTGGTCTGACATGACACCAAAAGACCAATAAATGACAAGACAAACTGGTGAAATAGACTTCATGTTAAGTTGAAAAAAAGTAAGTTTCAGCCTGGGAGACGAATATCTGCCTGTCACTAAGCAGCCAGGAATAGCCTTTAAACTACACACACACACACATACAC